GAACCGAATGGAAAAAGCAATGCTTAAATTTAGTAACTATGAAAACATAGATATGGCCTCTATTAAGGCTTTTTCAACAAAACTCTTTAAAACACGGCGTGGCTGTGCAAAGGAGACATTAGACATTCGTCGAAAAATTTTATTGGCAATGTCACGTCGTGTGGGAGTTCTTGCTAACGACTTTGATCTCCCGTCATTGTTAGGCATCTTGCAGTGTTATACGGTTCATGATCTAACGCCATTTCATTTAGAACCCCTTGCGATACGTGCGACAAACCACGTCAATGACTTTACTCCACATGAGTGTGCAACATTGTCCCATGTACTGCGTAAATGGCGCACTATGCGACTGGAAGTGTGCGAGCGGCTTGTGGAGCGCATATGCACTGCCGACCAGCTCACACACCATATGGCGAACGCCGCGATGGTAAGCATACGTGCCTGCTACGCCAAGGTGAGTGATGGTGGACGTAATGCCATGAATGCCGAGCCCACACGTCAAAAGCTTCGTGCTATGGGCGAACAAGTGGGCTCTCGTTTGGATGAGGTGGAATACCCCGCACTGCCCGTCATACTCAGCATTCTTGATGTTATTGTCACACTAAAGATTTATGTGCCCAAGAAGAGTCTGCAGACTATCTTTTTGCAGGCCAATGACATGTTGGCTGTGGTAATGGAGCAGAAGGACGATCTTGTGGATCCAAAGACCGGGAAACGTGTGCGTTTCATCACAGCCGAGGAGGGACGTCAGCTGCAGGCATTACTTTCACATTACGGTAACGATCTTGCGCCGGAGTTGGCTCAGCGACTGAAGGAGGCATTCCGAGAGGGCATGCTTCCAGATGAGGCTTCATTGTAACGACGCCACGCACTTTTTTTTTCTTTTCATCATCCTCACTTCCCTATTTTTTTTTTTTTTAACTTTCATTTGTGTGTTGGGGGAAAGAGGCGGGAAGGAGGCACCGCATGGTGCTAAGACTGGAGCAGAAAGCCAACAAAGAGAAGAAGGAGAAAAACGAACAACATGCGGAACGCAGGCAAACATCCAAATATATGAAAGGCGAAGAGGTGGTGGCACGACAACCCAAAAAAAAAAAAAAACGAAGAAGAAGAAAAGAAAAGAAAAGAAAAAAGGCAACAGTGAAGTGATAATCGACAAAAGAAAAAAAAAACATTAATTAGAAAAAAAGAGAAAAAACAAAAACAAAAGAAAAGAGTGAAATGTGGCCTCTTTTGCCTCATTCACAGAGGAACAACACAAAAATGTTTGCGGTGAGGGAAGGGTGGGGAAGTTGTTGCTGTGGGGTGAAGAACTGCCCACGTGCGATCTCCATTTTGAGGCAGGTGGTACCACCGACCATTGAGCGACAAGGACGCAGCAATAAGAAAAGCAGCGGTGGGAAAGAGCGAACAAGCTGAAAAAGAAGGGGTGAAAAGAATAGAGGGGGAGGAGAAGGGTTTGTGTGTGCAAGACTTTCCCAGTTAACTTCCTTGCCCCTTAATTGTTGTGATGGCGATGGTGGTGGGGGAGAAGGAGGTTACGGGATACGTCCGTCTTTGGTGTGAGGCGCTCGTGTTTTTATTTTATATTTATGGCTGCACATTCTTTATATTTATATCTTTTATATTTATTTATTTCTTCACTGAATTAAGAGAAGGTTATTTTTTTATTCCTTTTTAATTTTTTACTGTGGTGAATGTGGAGGCGTACATGTCTTTTTCTTTTCTCGTCGGGATTCAGGAGACAGTCACAGAATGTTGTACGGCATACATGTCTGTTTCGCGCGCAGTACGGAATTAGTGTGAGGTTGAGTGAGGGGGCACCGTTAAGACTTCTCAGCACCTCCACATCGGTGCCTGTTTGGCAGTGCCTCGTTGAGAGCATTCAAGAATTGGCCGAGAAGGCAGATGACGTGGAGTCATGGTGGCGATTTTGTCGGCTATGGCGAATGCACTTCCCGCAGGCAGCAGCGGATGCTCTTCCTTTGCTGTTGGAGAAAGAGCTTCTCGTGCATGGCGAGCAGAATGAGACTGGTAAACAGGAGAAGGAAAGCAACATCATGGAGCGTGTCCCGCGTGACTTACAATGTCTTCCAGTTTTTCTGCAAGCATTGTGTACGGCGGTGCAGTTAGGGGAGACACGATTACAGCTGTCTTTTCCAACCACGAGAGACGACGCAAGTACAGAGGGGAACGCAATGCTTGTTTCTGTCCTTGCGGAGCTTCGTGCTGTAGTTTTCTATCTGGCTCAAGAGCGTTTGACACACACCCTTTACGCGGTGCATGATCGCCTGGCGGAGACCACCCATGCAAAGAATGAAAACAGTAGAAAAGATATTGTGCTGAACGCTGTGTCCTCTTCCTCTCGTGATGGTGAACGCGTGGGTCAGATGGGTGTACGGCTTACACCGGAAGAGCTGCAGCAGGCTTTAGTACTGGCCGATGCAAGTGCTGCGGTGTTGTCAATTGGTCCGCCGGTAACGCTCTTGCCATCCCTGTACCGTCTGCTTCTCCCCGCACTGGGCGCATGCGAACAATTGGAGAACCATCGGCTTGGAGCACTTGCCATCGCCGTTGCTCGCAGCGCGGATTTCGATGACCCCAATGGCGACAAAGATAATTTTTTGTTGACTACCACTACGGCAGTTGATTGCCCCAGCAGCGGAGATTTGAGACCAATCATGACGTGCTACACAGTCCTGTCGCATCTGCATGCTGTCGCCCGCGCGTTGGAGGTGCGGATGCGGGAGTCCATGCAACGATTTAAGTCAAAAGGGATGAATCCTGCTGGTACATCCATTCGTCAGGCACAGCTGCGACTTCTTTCCCTGAAGGAGCGTAAGGAGTTGGAGAAGCAGCGCGAGTTGGAGTCTGAGAGTGTTGTTAGCGATGCTGCTGGTACGAAGCTGTTAGAGACCGTGGGAATAGTGTGTAGTGCTCTCGCCGCGCGGCGTTACACCGATGATCGTTTCTGGAAAGCTGTGACCGACTACACGGTTGCTTCTCTGCAAACGTCGGTCAACTCCTTTCCCACTTCAACGTCTTACCCTCATCTCTTAGAGGTTGTGCGTGATATTTTGTTTGCACTGGACCATGTTCATCACAAGGCCTACTTTGACTGTGTGATGTCACTCTTGGTGAAGTTGCATCTCCTGCAGGAACCGATTCCGCCCCCGTCGGCGGTACGAAACGCCATGAAGGCAGTGAAGGGGCAGACCGCCGCCACGCTCGGTCGGTAATGTAGTCGCTGAGAATTATTTTTATTTTATTATTGCAGAGTGGAAAGCCGTGTTGCTGAACTTTCTTTTTTTTTTTTTCTTCTCTGTTTACCTGCAGTTATGCGCTCACACTCTCATCTTCGTTGAGTAAAAACGAAAACAACTAATTTACCCGTGAAAAGTCATATAAATCCGTACCATCTGCTGTTTTTGGTGGACTTGATACGTGACGTGACATGTTTTTGTCCGGTTGGATTTTATTTTTCTTCCTTTTTTTAATTTTTTTTTTATTTTTTTTGGATGGGGGAGGGGAGATTGTGAAGGCGCATGGAGGTTGCATGGCTTCTGCAGCTTGAGTCAGAGGCGTGGACATCTGACACCAAACGGCAGCTTTATGGCACTCCACTGATTCCGGGTTTCCCGTGGTACACCGTGCGTACAGACCCCTCACAATGTGTGCGCCGTCACGTGGTGCCGTATTATTACACTTTTCGTGTCTTTGTGAAGGGGCGTTGGGTCGGGAAGAATCTTTTGGACATTTATAGTGAGGAGCACGCGCATCACTCGCGCCAGTACTATGAGGCATGCATGCAACAGGGTCGTCTTCGACGGCAACCACGGAAACACCACAACGTGCGAAGAAATTGCATGAAACGATTGTACGGAGTTGATCAACCTGATGAGAGGGAAGTCAATGAAGACATTTCAGAACCTGTGATTTTGGAGTCGGGTGATGTCGTTCTTCACACGGTGCATCGACATGAGATCCCCCTTTGTATGGGCACTACAGGAATTGACCCGATAGTTCTTGCGGCAGTACGCATAACGATGTATGGACTTCTTGTTATACACAAGCCGGCTGGAGTTCCCACCCACGCAGGCGGGCGATATTTTATGAACTCGTGTACAGCAATGCTGGAGTACGTTTTGGCACCGAAACGTCTGCGTGCATGGCTTCTGCAGCGGGACCCCATGTTACAGTCGATTGTGTCTACAAGGTATTTGACGGAGACGGAGTGTCAGGAGCTCTTGGCCTATTACATGGTGAAAGACGAGGGCAGTATGGCGGAATATGTCTCCATCGAGCGTCTGCCACGCCCCTGTTATCGTCTAGACAAAGTAACTTCTGGTGTTTTGCTTCTCGGTGTTTCTCAGGCAGCCACACGGCGCGTTGGAGAGGCGCTAACGCGAAAAACGAAACAGATGGAGGAGGTATTCTTGTGGAAGTTGCGTTTGATTGCTTCGGACGATAAAAAAACTACACGGGTGGGAGGTGTGCATTCCATTGAGGAGAGAACTCTGAGGGAATTTAACGTTGGTGTGAGAAAGCGCTACTTGGCCCGTGTTCACGGTTACTTCCCCAATGATGCGTCACATGCACTCCACTCATGCAGGGTGAGGAAAGAGAATGCTGGGGATGGCGATCACCGTACGACAGAGAAAGTTTTTTTTATTACCATCCCCACGAACCCCACTATTAGACGATGTGATGCGGTTAAAGAAGAGGCTTTGGGTGTAGTTGGCCCGCCCGTGTTACTTGCCTCACGGTTGATGCAATTCAAATTTCGTGACGGGGACACCACAGAGGAGCCACCAGCGCGGGATCAAGAGGGAAAACAACAGCGTGAACCTTTTTATCAGGATGCGGCGACGTTCTGTCAGCCACTGCGCTACTTTACTTCTGGTAGTGGGCAAGCAAGTGAGGGTGAGTCCTTGGTGCATTGTGTCCCCTTTTCTGGCCGTATGCATCAAATTCGTATGCATCTTAGTGATTGGGGACACCCGATCATTGGGGACTTAAAATGTAACGTGATGGAACAGCAGAAAAGCAGTTTTCACGAACCGGCGCTTTCAAAATGCAAAAATTCTGGTACACAGAGTGCCAAAGAAAATGAAGAAGAAATGGAGATCAGAATATACTTCCATGTGGAGGAGTTACCAAAAGTTTGCCGTGAGATGTTTTATACACATGATGCCCTTTGTTGGGAGTGCTCAGGTCGCCTTCCTGCGGCGTGTTTCAAATGTCCAAATGGCTCTGCGATTGCCCTGCATGCATGGCAGTATGAAATGGATCATTCTTTACTGCTTACCAGGGACCCAGGTAGCATCGCTAATGGAACGGATCAAGGAGTGGAAGACACAAACGATAAGAAAACGGATTTGGAAAACCACGAACAGGAGCCTGTGGTGGATGATGAGAGTGAGGAGGCATTAAATGTTTGCTGCACCTTAGAGGATTTAAAACGGTATTCGGACGAATTTGTACGGAGACAAGGGAAGTCTGTCGTTTTTTTAGCCCCTCCACCCTCATGGTCGTATGAGTAAACTTTCCGTTACGGCCACAGCTGCAGCTGCATACTTGTCGACTCCTCCCTCATTCATGAATGCACCAACTATTTTCTCTTGGGTTCCCCATTCCTCACACATACGCGTAAAACGTCTTTGTTCTTGTTGTTGTCATTATTATTATTATTATTGTTTTTTTTTTTTGTTTTTAATGACTGTTGGTGTCGCTGTTGAAGGATTTTTCTGTTGCTTTGCTGTTTTTTGTGGTTATGTTTGTTGGTGTTGTCGTGTGCGCTTTTCTTTCTTTTTTTTTTTTTTTTTATTATTCTTCTTTTTGGCAAAGTCATGTTTCTTTTTGATGCCATGCGGCATGCGGAGTGCTCCATTTGCCTCCAGACGCTCCTTCCCGGCACGGGCTCGTCGGCATCGCCATCAAATGGCGTCTCACCGGAAAAGAAGTTGCCGAGTCCCCCACGTGTATCACCGGCGCCACAACTCGGGGAGGTTTCTTCACGGGAGGAGGAATTTCGTATTACGTTTGCGCCAGGCGTATCACGGCAAGACACCACAGACGATTTCATGACTTTTATCAACGCACTCGACATGTACCGCCGTGCCGCGAAGAAACATGGCAGCCGTCATCGCACCAGTCGTGAGGTAGGCTGCGGAGTTACACCATGCGGGGCCGATCATGGAATTGTTGTGTTGCCGTGTGGACACCTGCTTCATTTCCTATGTGCCATTCAACTGCATGAGTACAGCAACCATCCCACGTGCCCTATTTGCCGTGAGGCAATAAAAAGCCCGGAGGACTGTGTACTTTTTCTCCCCCTCTCACGTCCAACAGTTTTTCAACGTGGAATGGCGGTGGATGGCGAGGTCAACGCGTGTGACATTAGTAGGACCGATGAAGATGGAGGTGACAACGTGCAATTTACAGGTGAGGGTTCTGTGGCGCCGGCCGATGTTTACAGGCGTCATATTCAACATGAACTAGACGAGTTGAAGCGGCGACGTCGAAATTTACGGAGTCGTGAGCATTTCCTTACGAACAGCAGGGATCAATTAGAAGAGCAGTGCATTTCGCTGGAACAGTCAGCGAGTGACGCCCGGCGTCGGTATGACGTCTTGACGCGGCAGGGAACGGTGGGATTGGACCGTCTTAAGGAACTTCGCGATGTGGCACTCAAGACACATACATCGATGGACCAACTAACATTAGAGCTTGCCAGACTGCTGCGGCAACAACGCGATCTTGATCAGCAGCTGGAAAAATACAGTCAGAGGCTGAAACGAGGGAGATTGAGCGGCCGAGGAATTCATTCGGGTAGCGAAGGCGGAGGTATTACGCGAGATGATGATGATGATGATGATGATTTACCATTTTCTCTGCAAAAAAGACGACTAAAAGCCCCTATGGCGGGGGTACCGTTCTCATATTATGTCTCACGTGACAAGAAGTGAGAAGATGTGAGGAAAAAAAAGGTGTGCGTCCTGCAAATAATATATAAATATATATAAATATATAAAGAGATGAATATAGGCTGTCAATACACCGAGGCGAGGAAAATGACCTTTCTCATAAGTTATGGACGCCTTTCATATTGTTTCAATCTTTATATCCCAACATTTCCTTTTGATAAACGTTCTTGCCTATGCATTGCATAAGGATGGCCTTTTTCTCCTTGGGGGGGGAGGGGGGATAATTTTATTTTTTCAATCTATTCATTTGTTCATGTATACATATATATATTTATTTATTGAGGGGGGTTTTCTTTGCCACTATCCGCTATAGGCCGTTGTAGTAGAAGAAATATGAAATTGTAGGCAAACAACCCACCACATCTCACGTCTTCTCTCTGTGCATTTTATGGCCCGTTTTTCCACAATTTCTGCGGTGGTGAAATTGTTTTGAACGCCATATTCTCTTCGACTATGCGAATTGCTCACACGAAATTAAAAAAACTTGCCCACTCCATACCAACCCGTCTCAGTCTCAAATGACGTGTGTACGATATTTTTTGCTTTCCGTCGTGTTTCCTCAAATAAATCCGATGGTCCACATTGTGGTAAGACGTGCTCTCAGACTTCATGGTGTTGGACCGTGTCCCAGCACGACGCGGCTGGTCCGGGCGCTGGTTGATGCCGTCAGCCCTGCGCCAACAACCAAGACCACGTGATGGACGCAGCGCTGACTGCTGGATTCCCCCGACAATACGGGGCAATTGACCGTGATACGCGCGGTGCCAACTTCCGCATGTATTTTTCGCCACCGTCTTCCGGTCAGGCACGTTACCCCCTGCAAAAATGCCACTGGCATTGCGGGGCGCACAAATATACGTTGGCAGCACGGCAGCGAGCACATCATGGTGCCGTACGGGCCGAGATTCGGAACACTGCGGAATGATTGACTTTTGGCTTCCCGAAGAATCCCACCCGCGTCCTTCGGTGATGGACTTTGGCTACCACAGTGAGGTAGCCAACCATGAAATTGCCAGGATGTACTCTTTCTGTAGCTGTCAACATGAACAAGACTGTTAGGGCTTTGGAGAATTTCATGGATGAGTTTTTGATTATTTTTGATTGATGACAACCTTTTTTTTTTTTTTTTTTTTTTTTTTTTACACAATGAAAGGGGGAGGGAAGCAACAACAACAACAACAACAAACAAAAAAGAGCGGAAAGGAGTGGGAAAAGAATTGGATGGCTCGGCCAAAGGACGATAAACTCCTGCGTGAAGAGGAGGAGGAGGAGGAGGAGGAAGAAGAAGAAGAAGAGGAAGAGGAAGAGGAGGAGCTGGAAGAATGGACCGAGCTAAACGACATTGATGAGCTTCAAGATGGTCCCAGCACATTTTACGTGGGCGGGTTCAGTACCATAAAAAAACTTCAGGATGCCCTCAACGTTGTGAAGTACCGCGATGATATTGTCCTTGTATATCCCGGTCTGTATGCAGAGAAGGAGGTGTGTATGGATGAATCAAGGTTAGATGGCTTAAGTGTGATGAGTGTGCCTTTGGCGATGGGTCCAAAGGGGGGATATCGGAAAAAAATACGAATTCCCAAAGATGAACGTCGTCTCGGTCCCTGGTATGCACCATTTGGAAGTGACGCACCCAAGACAGACGCGGTTACCCCCACCACGACAGATGCCACACACTTCCCTGTATTTGAGGGGAAATTGATACTGCGTAGCACAGCTCCTTTTACTCCGCAGGGTGAGCGCAAGACGGTGAACCCCATCAAACAATATGACCCACGCGAGGACGACGAGGAAGACGAAGAACAGGAGAAGGAAGCCGAGGAGGAAGAGGAAGAAAACGACACTCAAAAGGAGACTGTGAAGCGCTCTCGCCTGGAATTGCAGGGATTTTCTTTTCTTGAGGGAGCAGTGTTTGAGCCGCTTAGTCGAGCCACTGTGCGTCACTGTGTGTTTGGTCGATCCGAGGTGGAGGAAAAAGCAAACAAAACGCAAGGCAGTGATGTTCCATTGCCGTCCCCTTTGTTGGAGACCACCGTGACTGCACATCCCCTGACAGAAGTACAGGTTGAATTTTGTGTGATTTACGGAAACCAAAAACATGGAATATACGCCTTTCCACGGTGTGCACTCCGCTTTCACAGTTCCATGATTATCGGCCCTCAATTTGGTGTTGTACATGAAACGCAAGATTTTTGGTCTCGCGCCGCGCGTCACGCACAAAAGAATACTTCTTCACAATCTGTCCCTCGTTCAAGGCGTCCGTTGCAGCAGGCAAAGATACCTGAAAAGACACTTTGCGCTGTGGGCGTGTACCTGGATGACGCCGATGTATCTATTCAAGATGTTTTTGTGGCGCAAAGCCACGTGGGAATTTTGCTTGTCAATGGCTGCCGTGGCACTTCCGTGATTGCTTCACGCGTAGAGAGCATTAGCTCCGTCGGAATTTTGTTTTCGGGTGAGGACGGTGCGGCAAAAATTAACTGCTCCGCTGTGCGATGGTGTGGTCGGGAGTGTCTTCTCGTGAAGGGTCCTGTGCCGCCATTGCCGCCTGATCCCTCTCTCTTAATGGACATTATCCACGATGCTTTCCAGGATGCTGAGGCAGGGAAGGGAGAAGAACAAGAAGAGGAGGAAGAGGAAGAGGAGGAGGACACTGCAGCAAGAGCTCTTTCTCGGGTGCCGATACCAACTCAGCATCCCATATTGCGTGGAAATGCCTTTGATGGCAGCGTCCGTCTGGAAGGGGACGTCAGCTCTGCCGCCATGTGTGACAATGTCATTTATGTCGCAAAGGAAGGAATCTCCCCTGATGTTCCAACATTCACAGGGCCTGCCGCGGAAAAGCGTTTTGCGCTGAAGGGATTTCACGTTCACGTCCGTGGCACCACGCCGCGGAAGAACGACAGTGATTAGAGGCCCTTCCCAATGGTATCTGCATCGACAGCTCACTGTTGGCAAAAGGGCGTCATGTAGCTTAGCCGTGTCTTTGTTTTTTTTTTTTCTTTGATGGACCGTGGAAGATGTACAGAAGCAAAACAGTAATAACGGAGAAAAGGACGGTGATGATGATGATGGGGGTGGCAGGAACAAAGAAAACAAGAAGGATAAGCACGAAAACGCAGCCACAAAAAAGGAACCCCAGGCACGAAAAAAAAAAAAAAAAAAAAGAGTACTTACGCTGGGAATGGAGGGAAAAAAAAAAAAAAAAACGGCCTGGTGTTTCTTGCGCATGTACACTCTCCATCTACCCACACACTCACTTATCGTTTCTTCTTTAACTTGTCTTGCCTGTGCTTTTTTGACCGCATTTATTGTGAGTAGACGACCACGCCGTATGCCTCGTTCAGTGGTCATCTTTTGTTGTTGTTGTTGTTGTTGTTGTTGTTGTTGCTCTCTCCCGCCGCTATTTCTTCTTTCAGTGGCAGGACGCGGAGAAAGGAGGCGTCACTGGAAAGGGAAAACACACACACACACACACACACACGTACGCAAGGAATATAAACTTCTTAATAGACAAATATATATATATATATATTGCAATAAAATCCGAGTGGCGGCAGTTTCGACTGTGTGGTGCGTGATGTTTGCGAAGGATCCTTCGTTGCTGCTGCTGGGGACCGAAACGGGCTTCACGGCGCCTTCACGAGTTTCTCGCCGGAGCTCCGGCACCGTGAATGCCAATTTGGAAGTCGGGGAGGACGACATGTGTGCTGAAAGCACCAAACCTTTTATCTTATCGAATGAAGCAGCAGCTGCTGTTGTGAAACCCCGGCCGAACCCTGCAGACGCTGTGGGTAAGGCGGTGCTGAAACCCGGTGGGAAAGGCCGCGGGTCGAAGAACTTCTTGTTGCGTGAAAATACAATCCAACACGCGATGGGAACGCCACATTCCGCGTTTGCGGCACAAAAGTTGCTAAGGAAAGGCAAGCCGGTACCACACCCGCCAAGAAAATCGCTCATGACAACTAAAGACAGACCAGCCATGGGGTCGCACGGCAGCGCACCACACAACGCACGCCCTTTACGTGGCCCGCAAGCAGTGAAGAAACCAGTTGCGCCAAGTGCACCCACACCAAAAAAACAACAACAGCAACGCAGCGTCTCGCATGGGACGATGAACATGACGACCACAACATCTTCTAATGCTGGTGGGGAATCGCTGCTTGCCTCGAGATTCCGAGAGGTGTCATTTAAGGCGGGGAATGTTGCCCACGGAAGACGGAGGAGGAGCTTTATTGAGAGCATCACACTGTGTGAAGACGATTCTTGGCAACCTACTACTTCCGTGACGAAGACGAGGCGGAAAAAAATGTCTGGAAATGTGGCACCGGCGCTAACGCCGCTTCCACGTCAAATAGTACGGCAACTGTATGCGGAGGATATGGCTCCTCTTCCTGCAAAAGGAGCTGATTCATCGTCAAACCATTTCTCGCCACAGCTTTCATTGACGGCTTTAAATTCTACTTGGGACCGTACGGGAGAGGGGGATGCCTACAGGGATGCTCAATACTCATGCTCCTTGTCTCAGTCTCGAACAGGTGGTGACTTGGGTTCTTTACCCAAGAATATGAAAATCAAAGGTTTTTCGTTTCTTTCCTTACACGCATGGAATGCACCACCCTCCAATGTTGTACTTCCAAATGGCATGATGCCCTTAGAAAGAAAGTCGCAAGAAAAAGATGGAGCACAGTGCGAGTATTGGCACGTCACCCATCCGTTTCTTGAGGATGAAAATCGAAAGGGAGAATGGATGCGTCCTCTGCAGGAAGTAGGAAGGTCTGAAAGAAAGTTCATCTCTGACACGGATAATACCGAAAAGAAGAAATTGCACGTGTCAAATGATGATGACTATCATAATCTTTTTCATTCCTTACAAAAAATTCACTCACTTCATCATCATCATCATCATCATATGGATGCACTTCAGGAATCCACGGCGCAGCCGGAGTTAAGTGATATTGGAGGATTTACCAACTCGTTGGCGGCTTGTTCAGCTCTTCTTAAAGAGCCGCAGCAGCTACTTGATAGTGAGTTTTTGGTGTCTCACAAAGCTCCTTTATCGCCAATTCAACGGAAATCCACTCTGCAGGCATCGTCGTCCCTCCTGGATAATTCATGGATCTCCCTAATGCAAGCAACCGAAAAAAATCCTCAGTTTGTGGAGTTGTCGCATCCTGGTAGAGTGTTATTTGCATCATTGCTTTACCTGCGAGCGCTTGGTGGGTTTCCTACACTGCTTCGCATCAACCCACTCAGGAAAAGCAGCTTTGTCGTAGGAAAGGAACACTGCGTGGAGCTTGTCTTTTGTTTACCTTCAGGCCGCCAACGTGACACAAATGCAGCTTCACTTCCATCACAAACGAAAGTGTCGCGTTCCACAAGGATCACTAATTTCATCTTGGAGGGTCGGCACGCACACGAGAAGGACGGTCAAGGCAAACACGTGGGCTGGGAAGAACGTAGTGTCATTGTACGCTCTATTCTTGCAGAAAAATCCATTGTGGACCGCTTTGGGAAGGTGGAGGTGGTGCATGTTTTGCCACCCATACAAAATGAAAATGCATTCATGAGGCGTGAAGCGGACGAGAGCCACAGAAGTCAGTTGATTGAATCCAAAAGTAAATTGGTTAGCCGCCTTTTACATGACTCGACTCCAGAGCCCCATGCTGACGCTCAATCACGGGTGCCCTACGGCTTATCGTTTCCGGGTGGTTTTCCCTACGGCAGGAAGACACACCACATGGAATGCGGTGATCTTGCAGTCGCGTTTCTGATGAGTGGGAAACTGTCACAGATTAGTGGTGTTCCACCGGAGCCAATGGACCTTGAGGCATTGCGTTATAAAGTGTATGCACTCAGACAACACGAATTAGAGGATGCCACGAGGAAGGAGGAATTCAACACGGCCGCAACACAGCGGACTGGCGTTGGTTTTGAATTTCCAATACGAGAGGCTCGAACACCATCCCAGGCTGCCACAATGAGAACAGAAGCAACAACGCCTGCAGGCTTATTCCTGGAAAATGCAGTGAATGTGGCGTCAATGCAACAACGATTTCCCGCGTACACTCCAGTTACGATTGCGGAATCCACCATTTTGGCAACGACGGATGGAACTGCCGGGGTGTGTAAAGGTGGCCAAAAGGCCGGTGAGTGCCAGGGTACACAATTTTCTCAGTTACGTTTGCCTCGGTTTTACATTGACCTTGTGGATGCTGTGCAACACGCACTAGAGGTGCAGGATATGCTGAGAAACGAAAATGCCGTCCGCGCACGTTTCTTACAGATGACATAATATGCTGACAAAAGTGTAACTGCTTGAAATGACACCTACATTTGCGTAGAGTGATACATATATATATATATATATAATATTCATGCATGTATTCATATTTATATTAGAGAGAAGGATAGAGGGAAGGGTAATTGCATTACGTGTGTAGTCCCCGAGCGGCTAGAAGAGAACTAGAAGGCGTTTGATCAAAATGACTGAATCTGGTTGTTGTCGTTTCTTTTTTTTTTTGACTTGCAATCATCCCCATTATTATTATTATACCGGTTTTTGTTGTTTTTATTATTGTTATTATTATTATTATTTATTTATTTATTTATTTTCTGTTTTCTGTAAGTACGGGAGGAATCAGAGAGAATTCACACTCGCAGGTATTTTATTACAGGCAAATACTCACAGTTTGAGACGCATGTCGAGTGGTCTGTCGGCACGACGTCTTATTTTGCAGCAGCTTACTGCAGTGGCACAATACAGTCCTTTTAGGCCAGTGTTAGCGGCCATGTTAGCGAACCACACTGCTGCTTCCACAATGACGGCCTCTTTGAATGATCACGGTGGGAGCAAAAGTAAGAGCTCATGGTTTCGTATTTCTCTGATTTCTCCTGAAAGTAGTCGCGGAACATTTACATTGATGACGGAGGAGGAAATGGAATACCTGCGACGAAGACGAGAGGAGGACGGGGATGAGGCACGGGTGGTTCTCTCCACGCGGCCGGCAAAAAGCCTAATGAAAGGTCTGGCGGGATGTGCTCTTAACTTATTTTTGTCATTTCTTCTTTCGCCTCTGTTGGCCCTCTCTGTCTCTCTCGAGGCCGTTCGATTGAGTGGGGCGCGGCCTGTCACACTGGTTGTTGCTCCGATTGTGGGGTTAACGTGGGGAACGGTGTTTGTTGTCATTGCATGGTACGCCGCACTACAGCAACTGGTCATGTGTGCATTTTATCAGATGCAGGGGCCACTGTTGTTCCTTTTTCGCATAGGCTATTGCTGGAACGAGCTTGCCTGCCGTTATGAGCATCCTTCTGGTGTTTTTGGTTGTGCTCATCCGCTTCTTGCGATGTACGCGTCGGAAGAAAAACTGCGGGAGCGGGCGATGAAGCGTGAGTCACGTCGCCGACGGAATGAGAAGCGCGGTGTCACGTATGACCGCTCAAAGAGTGGCAAGGGAATGAATGAAAACGACTATTACGCCGTTTTGGGTGTCGAACGGGACGCCACACCGCGACAAATCAAAGAGGCATACAATCGCCTTGTGTTGGAGGTGCATCCGGATAAAAACCCGAGTAAATCCGCGGCTTCTCACTTTGACGCGGTTACAAAGGCGTATCGTGTGCTTGGTAACGCGGAGAGGCGGCGCAAATATGACATTGGAGGCACGAGTGTTGTGGAGGACCTTGGGGAAAAGAAAAGAGACGCTGTTCGGGCGCTCTTTGGTGGTGACGCCCTACACGCCATTGTGGGCGATGTGAAGACAGGCAACTTCTCCCAGCGTGTCGTGGATGGCCTTGACTGGACGCAGGAAGAGCTGGCTGTGTGCCGGCAACGCATGCTCGAGCGTTGCCGTGATGAGCTTCTCACATCATTCCTAGAGCCTCTTCAGAAGAGCAGGGAGAACAGCGGCAATAGTAATAACAATGGGGCCGGTCTCACCGAAGTAAAGAAGCGTTTGCAACGGCTTCTCAACACAGGCCTCGCCAAGGAGGTGTTGTCTGCGGTGGGGCAAGAGTACATGCGTGTCGTCCGGTATAGTGAGGCAATGAATTCGTTACAGAGACTTGAATTATTTCTGAAGGTCATCGCCCCACATCGTGCCCGGCGAAAATTGGACAAGTGGCGTTCTTTGGGCCGCATTCGACAGCATACATTCAAAGACTCTGCAGCCATGGTGGATCTGGCGTGGTACACATCCGTTGAGGAACTTGAATCCACGGCGTGGTGGGTAGCAACGGCTACTCTTCTTGACCCACAACTGCCAGTTGAGGAGCGTCAACGTCGTCGTGACGCACTGCGAGTACTTGCCGAGACATTTATCGTGTATGGACAAGCGTACAAGGGTGCCAACAGACAAACGATGGATACGTTGATGAATTCCCTACGGGACTACAATCAACAGCAGCAACAGCGAAAGCGAGATGACCAATGAATGCAGGAGAGCAAAATAAAATAATAAAAATAAAAAAAAAGAGAGATGGTGTATTTATGCATGTGTAGGGAAGGAAGTAGAGATGTCTGGAGGAATTGGCGATGCTGTGGGAATGAAAATAATAAAAAACAAAGAGAGAAAAAGAGAAGCGGTTCTTCAAATGGAGTGCCCCCCGCTTACCTCTATGTTTATTATTATTATTATCATTATTATTATGTTTGATTGTTTTTCTGTTGTCTTTGATTATTATTCCTTCCGTTGTGAGTCCCACATTTGGTTGATTTATTTTATTTATATATTTATTTATTTATTTTTTATAATGGAGCACATGAGATTTTGACGGCGGCAGCGATCGACGGGCCATTTAATGCTGTGTGACAAACAGGGGAGGTGTGGATGAGTGGGAAAAGAGAGTTGACAGGGAGGAGGCAAATGATGTGAGACTATCCATCTGGTGCATGGTCTCGCACCCTGCGTGCATGTACGTATAATTCTCTTTCTTCCCCTCCTCCCCTACCATTACCCTTTTGTTGTTGCCTCTTCTTTTTTTTGTGTGTGTGTGTTTTGATCTCCACCTCTCCTCCCCCAATCATCATGTACGCACATGTCGGGTACCACTGATACGACACATACCGTGAGAGTGAGAGGGAAAGGAGAAGGAGTGAAAAGAGGAAACAAAACATCCAAACACACATACACATACACACAGAGAGAGAGAGAGAAGAAAAAAAAAAAAAAAGAGAGAGAAACGAATCATGGATCGCGCATCAGCCTCGACAACCATTACAACAGAGGCGATCAAAAAAATATGCGTACAGTTGGGTTACTACCGTAACCCCATATGTAATGAGAAGCTCTATCTTCATCATAAAGGATTTGATAGTATAGAAGAGGACGCGTTTGATCCGTACACGGACGTTAAGGTGTTATGGTTAGAGGGCAATGCATTGACTCATATCTCATGTGGTAGAGACAGTATGCCACGTCGGAAAATAAAACCGCAATCGGAAGTTAGTGTAGAAGAACTGGCACCGATGTTAACTGCCAATGCCGGCTTCTCTAAGAGTGCTCAGCTGGAAAGTTGTAAAACCAAACATGTGGACTGTTGTGGAGATTGGGCATCACCACCACCACCACTACCACAGGTCAGCGTTCTTGCAGATGAACAGCAAGTCAACGTTACCGCACATGCCAATAAGCCTTTCAGTGCCGCTGCTCATGATGAAGCTACTGCTGATGCAGCTGCTAATGATGGTGGTGATGATCGTCACACCATTGCGTCTCCTATTATTGCAGCTGATGGAGCGGGAGGCAATCCGGTGACGACTGTCCCACCAATCGCCACTAACATTGAAGAGAGCAAAGATGTATTTCAATCACTTTATCCCACACTTCGACAGTTATTCTTACACAACAATGCCTTGCGGGAGATGCCAGATCTCAGCGGCTTCCAACGATTAGATACCGTTAACCTTTCAAACAACTGCATCCACTCTGTGCGAGCAAACTGTGCAACCTTCTGTGCAAGGGTGGCACACTTTGAGACGGCGCTACAGGAAAAGGCGCAAGCCCTCATGGCGAACTCAAAGAGTATGCAGAATGAGGTTTGTGCGCATGATGCCCGATGGAAGCGGACGATGCAAAGGAACCATCGACCTAGTTGTGGTGCTGAAGAGAATAATAATGCCAATGATAATAAAATGAATGAAAACAACGCGGGGCCAGATTCCACACTGCCAGCGTCACCCTTAGAGGAGACGTCAACGACAACCATTGTGCAAGGGGTGGATAACGTGGAGGGGGAGGTTGTAGTGGTGGAAAGAGAAGGCGGTGCGTTGCATTTTGACTTGGAAATGTGGCGGCAGCGGCTCAGTGCCTACGCTGACTTTTGCCCGCATGAGCCTTTGGAAATTGCGGAAAACGGCAAACTTTCCGATGACGTGCCACCCATGTGTCGCAACCCCTGCAGCTCCATCCGCAGCCTCAACCTCTCCGCCAACTACCTCGCCGACGCAGCCGACATTGTGCAGCTTCTGTGCTTCAAGAACCTCACCGTGCTAGACCTCAGCAACAATCAACTGAGCAACGGGGAGGCGGTGCTGCTTATCATGGAGCGGCTGCCACGGCTGCGGTCGCTGAAGTTGTCGGGCAACCCACTCGTGCGGTCTCTGCCACGGTACCGCAAGATGGTGCTGGCGCGCTGCCCGGGTTTGCTGCATTTAGACGATCGCCCCGTGTTTGCAGATGAGCGGCGACTTGTTATGGCGTGGGCCCGCGGCGGCGACGAGGCGGAGAACAAGGAACGACTGCTTATGAAGGAAGAGACGGATAAACAACACATCCGACGTCTTGAGGAGTTTCGTGCGCTGGTCAACCGTTCCCGCTACCCTGACGACAGTAACAACAACAATAATAATAATAACAACCTCGCCGCGAATGATACCAACGCGGCGAGTAGGACCACCTCCACACTAACTGTGGGAACGTCAACGAGAAGGGAGGAGCGGCGCAATCAGGGAGGAACTTACTCCCCTGCGAACCTCAGCGATGATGTTGATGATGATGATGTGACGAGCACGGAGACGGACGAGGAAGAGCCCCACGAAGATGTTCACATTAACAACCGTATATTCCGCCACACGGGAGAAACCGCAATTTCACAGGATGCCATAATTCCCGAATTGCGGCGTGCACAAATTGAACGAGCGCCGTGGAACGAATTCGATAGGACGAGAGTGCTGAGCTCCAACATACAGCCCCAAAGTAGAAACCAACAGCGGCTTCCTCAGTATGTTGCGGAAGAGGATGAAGAAGACGGCGACGTTTACATCCCAAGAACCGCATCTTAGTGAAGGCAATATTATTGACAAATAAAAAAAACGCCTTTTATTTACATCATTTATGTTCTACTTTTAGAGGTATCATTGTGTTTGTTCTGCCTCAAAAAGTAGTTTTATATATATATATATATATATGTTTTTTCCTTTCCTTATTTTAATTTTTGTTCCGAGCTTTATATTTGTTTTTTTTCGTATTGTATGTGAGTTTGTATGTATTTGTTTTATTTGATTAATTTTTATTGCCGTTTGTGTTACTTTTTGTTGTTGTTTTTGTTTTGGCTGTTCAGCCACTCTTTGCCTAAAAAGAGATTGTTTTTCATTTTGACCTGTCATATTTTTGTTGTTGTTGTTTTATGTATTTTTTTTTTTTTTTGTATGGACTATTTGGGGACCGTACTTCTCTTTTTGTTGTATGACGTAATGGCACGTGATAAGTAAAAAAAAAAAAAAGAAGCAAACGGCAGGGGAGACGGGAGGGGAGGGGGGGAGTAAGAGGGGGAGAGTTCCTGTGAACTTTTCCCACCCGGTTTTGCGCATGTGCTTGACTGCTGTCAAGCACAAACGCACATAACAAAGGAGCATATCTTTTATTTACACAGAGAGAAGAGAAGAAAAAAGGAAAAAATCATGGCACTTGCAGGCCGTTATGTGTGTTTTTCTGGCTTTTGTGACGATGAAGAGAACGAAGACGAAAATGATGATACCTCCACAAGGACAACAAAAGAAGGGAAGGAAGGAGGGGGAAAGGCATGGTCACTGCAGGCAATGCGAATGCTTTGTGAATCTTTGGGCGCCGTGGTACAGGCACACATTACGAGGCTCACATCTGTTCTTGTTGCAAGGCAAGGTCTTACGCGGAAGCGTTTGGTGGCGGAGCAGCATGGCATCCCCGTGGTATCGCCTCGATGGCTTGAGTCTCATGGACGCCTTTCCTTTGCGGATGCAAAGGTTCCGTCCCTCTTTGGTTATACCTTCTGCTCAACACAAATGACGGCGGAAGAGGAGAAGGCGCTTAGCACCATCATTGAACACAACGGAGGGGTCTTTGATCGTACACTCACGGCTTGTACGTCAATGCTTTTTGTTCCGCCCGGTTGGATGAAGCGATGGCGGCAACAACAGCAGCAACGTATGCGCGGACGTCCTTCGACAGGGCCGCATGGAGATGGGCCGCCGCCTGTCCTTCCAGAGAAGATTCGTTTTGCGTGGGCTACAGAAATTCCTGTTGTGGAGTATCCCCGCTTTCTGGCCATGGCGGCGTTGAGTAGCAGCAATGGTGTGAACATGAAGTGCGACAGTGTCGCGGCCCGTGCGGACTTTGATACCATTGCACGGCTCTGTGCGCTGCCCATTTCCGTCGCAGGTGGACTTGTCCCTCACACGCAGCGGGATGACGGTAGTGCGGGTGGTGGTGCGGCCAAAGCAGTCGAGGAGGTTGAGGAGGATCTCGTGAAGGGGCATAGTGACTTCAGCCATTTGGAAAAACGGCCCCGTGAAATGGGTGATATGAATGCTCCATACGATGGCGATGGTGGTCCGCGAAGCAAGAGGGTGCGGATAATACAAGGGAACGATGAATCCACGATTCAGGTGCGGGATGCTCTGCAGAATGATGGCCATCACGGGGAACGAAAGATTCTTGAAAATGAGGAGAAGTCCATCCAAACGAAGCACGAAGAGAAAGCTTTGGGCCCATCTTGTGTGCGGATGGATGAACCGTTAGGTTTGATATCAGGTTACGCAGCGGTCCCTGTACCACCATCATGCCCCCGTCGTTGCACCGTACGAAGCTCATCCGTAGAGGCATCCAGGAGTGATGATGTTTTCTTCAGTGACACTATCTTCACTTCCGGTCATCCGTTCGTACAGGTTACATTGCTGGGATGCACAACACGAGAGTCGGTGGACTGTGTACACATGATTGTACATTGTCGCTTTATGCGTACTCCTGTTGTCACGCCTTGGACAGACGTTGTGGTGGTGGGAAGCGCGTTTATTCAGGAGAATTTAGGGGACGTTAGTGCAGTGGATGAGAAGAAGGGACCGCCACGGCCTTTACTCCAGCATCTTCATCAAGAACGGGGTCAGTTGCTGGCCCGGTTACGGGATCACTTGGCTCTCAATTACGGTATACCCATTGAACGCGTTGTGGGAGTGGAATGGCTTCACTCTTGTTATCAGCGCATGATGTTTCAACACACACCGGGCTCCATGGAAAATTTGCATATTCCCTTTTTTCCTGCATCGCTTCCTTTGCGTGAAATGCCGCCTACAGAGAAGTACCACCTGCGGATTCCCTCTACGGTCTCACACTTTGAGGCACCACCGCCACCGCCAGATGGGCAGCAGGCAAACGAGCCGGTAGCGCCTCCGTCATCTCGGCTGAGGAAAAGAAAGGCGCTGCATGCTTTGCAAGAACAGAGTCGAAGTGCCTACAATCCAACTTCTAATGCGAAGGACGTGCCAGTAGCCGTGAATACCGTGCAGCAACAATACGAAGCTGAACTTCGTCTTGCAGATCATCGAGTGAAAAATCTTTTGGCTCTTCTAGACAATGCAGCGGAAACTATCGACGGGGGTTCGACTCCGTTCATCTCTTCTCTGTTTTGTTTTGTGGAAAAGGAATTCTCTCGCATCGACTTGGCTGTGGTGCGTGCACTCATCAAGCACGGCAAAGGAGCGTGGCTGAAGAAGAATAAGGACGATTGGGTTAGACTACTAACTCAAATCGGCACCAATGCGGCATCTGACGAGAATCAATTGGTAGAAACTGAGCTTATAGGGTTTGTACGGCGATACAGCGTCCTACGCAAGCGACTTTCTCTTATGCAAACTGAAGATGGTGAAGCAGAGGAGGCGCCACTGCGGGTGTCTACGGCTATGGATGGAAGCCACGGTCGCAAACAATCTTCTTCGGATTTAATTACACATCACCCCACCTTTGCGCTGTACGTCGTGCCACACGGAGACCAACGCCCCGCTGAGTGCCTTCTTAAAAGTGAAATTCGACGAGGGACGATGCCGCAGCGACATCCACTGCGTTACCTCCCCGCTGTGACTCAGGATTACATCTTGTGTTGCTTGGCAGCTGGGCATATGCTACATCCAGGGAGTTGTTTTCTTTTCAGTAGCCCGGTGACCACTGAAGCGGAGCGACTCGCACGACGGCGACGGCGCAGTGAATCAGGGAAGCCTTTAAGTGTGTCTCCGTGGCTTGGACCACGCCGGCACGAGAAGGCACCACTCACCGGCATTTCCATTTTTTTTCTTTGTGCCATGAAGGACGAGGTGAGCGCGGCTGCTGCCGCACTGCGGCGTGTAATGGTAAGTTGCCTTACGGCAGCAGTCCGCGAGTTGGGCGGCCACAGCACGGTGGTGTTGCTGCCAGAAACAGTTACCCACGTTGTGGTTATTGACATTGCGTCCGTGTTGGAATCTGAGCTTGTGCCTGACGCCACTGTATATGGCTATTCCCCATGGTTCAAGACAGAGGAAATCGAAGAACGGGAAAGAGAGGAGTTACTTTTGCGCGGCTCCGAGTGGCCTCATGCACTGCAGGATCAGTTACCAGAGGATCTTGTGGAACACGTTCTCAAGGGGCGGATCTCATTGGTTGGCGTGGAGTGGTTGCACGCCAGTGTGGCATGGGGTGTCTTCCTCGACGAGGCGTCATTCACCCTGACGGTGGCGCAACAACAACAAAAAATGTCACAACAGCAACGGTACGGAGGAAGAAGTGTGGTGGCAGGCTCCGCCGCAACACCTCCTCTGTCGCCGAGTCGACGCGCCGTCTCCACTGACATAACATTGCTTCCATTTGAAAGCTCTACAAGGACCAACACAATTACAGGCATGGCGTTATCGCCACAGGCAGGCGCCGGTTACCAATTTGATTTTTCAACGCCTACCGCCACGCCAGTACGTCTGCGTCCGCAGAAGGATCTGCTGAATGAATCCAACGCCAGTGTACCAAGGCAGAGTTGTCCACGATCGACATTGCGGACACCTCGACGACAACGCGTGAGTGTGCCCCGCACAATTTCACCCGCCGTCGTGTTGGTGGGCGAATCAATGCACACGGAGGAGCGAGACCCTTCCGAGGAAGCCGATACGGAAGAAAGGTGCGTTGCAGCAACTCCACCGCAAAAATTGGAGTTTCCGACAGTTGAAAAGCATGCTTGCACCCCGATCCGTGGAACGGCTATACTTGGGACTGAGGATGATGTGACCAGTAATGGTAGCAATGAAGATGTTGTTGCAGTTGCAGTTTCCCGGATGCGGCCTGGATATCCTCATGGTGAAGGCAAAAACGTTCCATTGGCGGTGGCAATGCCGCAACAATGGGACCCCGAGGCAAGCAGCAACAGTTGCGCCGGCCCACAAAATTCGACCACGCCACCACCTATGTTGGCACCTAACGATTTAGGTGACTCATTATCATCGCGCTTTTCACTTGCTAGTGCCGCATTACGGGTTCATATTGTCCATGACATGCCGGACAGAGAACGGCTCATAGCATCCTGCGTAAGACTCAGTGAAGCTGCGGTTAATGGTAGCACGTTTTTTTACAGCGAGGGAAGCAACAGCAGTCCAAATGGCGTGTGTGACGTTCCTGGGAATTTCCGGCAGCAACACCTTCCACGTCAGAAGAACACGGCAGCTGTTTTCACTCATTTGCAACTTGTCGGGCCTTCTGTTAGAGATGCGGATGTCCTTGTGACACACCAACTTACGCAGCGAGAAAGCGTTCTTGCGGCCATTGCTGCTGGACTGTGGGTGGTGACACCGAAGGCGTTGCAGGACTGTGAGTCGCGTCAATGTTTTCTTCCACTACGTGACTTATCCGTGTACGAGTGGTGCCCGGAGCTTTTAGCGCCTGGGTCGCCCCGTAGCAGTCTCCAGCTCGCACAGCAGTGTAGGAGCCGTCGTCAGCAGCGACAAGCAACTGGAACTCGTCTTTTTGATGGCAACTGGTTTGTTATTGTTTTTCCAAACACTGCCGTTGGTCTAGCGCGGGCGCGTTCAATGCGAACCGTCCTGGAAACAGGCGGCGGTGTGGTGACGTGGGCAACTTGCTTCTTGGCCGATCAGGAAGCAGAAACAGCCGGTATCGTAGGTGACAAATTATCGTCCCAAGAAGACGCCAAAATGCCACTCACTCGCCGCTCCGTCACGCCAATGGCAGAACCCACATCCGTATCGTCTCCCGCGGCACTACTTGAATTTGTTTTGTCGCAGATCCGAGGCCAAGAGGAGGAATTCAGCAATGGCGAGTTGGATAAGCGCGATGACATGACAAATTCCCACCCAAAGCCTGCGAAGGAGCTTATCCTCCTGCTCGATGGATTCTTGCAGGGAAGTACAGCGAGGAGTTGGTTGCGGGAAATTGTGGAGTTATTTAGTCACGCGCAGGCATCCTTTACGGAGGCGAAGAAAAAGGCTTTTGCAAGGAGACAACGCAAGCAGGGTGAACATCGGACGCAATGTCCAGCGTGGGAATTCACAAGAGCAGGGAATGAGGTGAAAGGGAGTGATGTATGGGGAAACGGTTTGACGATGTGGCCAGTCACTAGGTCTCTTCCTCGCCCTGCACTTTTTCCAGTGTTAGGGCCTCCCCTGCGAGTGGACACGAGGGACAGTGAAAATAACGTTGATTGTGGCATGCCGTTTGTAGAAGTGGTTCGTGTCTTTTCTTCAGATTGGGTAACTCTGGTGATTCAGAAACGGCGGAAGGCACCCCTGTGTGTTGTGGAGGTTTCTTCTTAAAAGTCGCATGCCTCTCCAAGATTACTTTTTGATGATGGCAGTGTGTGTGTGTGTGTGTGTGTGTCGGTGGGTGTCCTTGGCCACTTTATTGTCTGTCGTTGGGTGTTTTTTTTAAATATGTTTTGTCATGTTTTTCTCTTGTGTTTTTTTTTCTTTCTCTCTTTCTTTCTAATCACCGGTGTCATTGCCATTGCCATCATCGCCTTCTTTTATTCCTTGCAGAAGGAAAACATTACGCAGCTTGAGGCACGACCCCAAAGGTTGCAGTTTGGGTGGAGTGCACACAAACAAAAACACAGTTAAATACACACTAAGAATATAAGGGGAAAAACAGATCGGATGTCCACTGCTATCGGAATCGATCTCGGCACAACTTACTCGTGCGTTGGTGTCTTTAAGAACGACCAGGTTGAGATCATTGCGAACGATCAGGGCAACCGCACAACGCCGTCGTACGTGGCGTTCACCGAGACGGAGCGTCTTGTCGGTGATGCCGCGAAGAACCAGGTTGCGATGAACCCGACGAACACCGTCTTCGACGCGAAGCGCATGATTGGCCGTAAGTTTGATGATCCCGATCTGCAGTCGGACATGAAGCACTGGCCCTTCAAGGTGACCGTGAAGGAAGGCAAGCCGGTGGTTCGGGTGGATTACCAGGGCGAGACAAAGACATTCTTCCCTGAGGAAATTAGCGCCATGGTGCTGTCAAAGATGAAGGAGATTGCGGAGTCGTACCTGGGCGAGAAAGTTTCTCGGGCAGTGATCACGGTGCCCGCGTACTTCAACGACTCCCAGCGACAGGCGACGAAGGATGCCGGCACGATCGCGGGGATGGAGGTGCTGCGCATCATCAATGAGCCGACAGCTGCCGCCATTGCGTACGGCATGGACAAGAAGGCGGACAAGGGGGAAAAGGTGGTTCTCATCTTTGATCTTGGCGGCGGCACGTTTGATGTCACGCTGCTGACGATCGACGGTGGCATCTTTGAGGTGAAGGCGACGGCAGGTGACACGCACCTGGGCGGCGAGGACTTTGACAACCGGCTTGTGGATTACTTCGCAACGGAGTTTAAGACGCGTTTTGGCAAAGACCTTCGCGGTAACGCACGGGCTGTTCGGCGCCTTCGCACGGCGTGTGAACGTGTTAAGCGAACGCTT